AAAAGTGAAGAAGTCCTACCCTGGCTCCCATGGCAGCATTATAGAGTTCCGTGAATTTCCTAGTGTTCCAAATTTTCACTCCATACGGACCACCATGCCATGACACCAAGCCTTCCTGCCGTGGATTGACGAGAAGATGTAGAATAAAACGTAAAACCGGTGAAGCACAACATTCTAAAGACTTCCACGGTTATGCAGCTGTATGTAACTTCAAAAAGTTGACCTACTTTTCAAAAAATCCACTTTCTCTTGACTAGAAAGGACATATGGAACATTCTTAGTCTCAAGAGGAGCCTCTGAAAAGCACTTTTGAAGACGATATGGAAGGGATGAGCTCATCCTTTTTGAAGACTGTTGACTTACCTTCTTCAGATTTAGTATTATCCACACATTTAGGGACCATGTCGGTCATGTGATGAACATCTGCATAAGATTCAGGAAGCTGGTAATCCTTAAAAAATCCGATTGAGTTAGCTGATTCTGTGAACCAAGCTACATTTATGCGTCATTAGCAAGCGAAAATTTTTGATATTAATAAAGATTGAGGTCACGGAAATTCATTTAAACCAATCAGAATTCGAAGAAAATAATGAAAATGCGGGTGATGAAGATTTGAAAACGGTACCCTTCATGATTTTTTGATAGTCGCAAAAATGTACGATCTAATAATTCACTTTGCAAATGTCAATTTAGTGCAGGTTGGGTGAAATTATATTACAAAAACAAAACATTTTCATTGACTTTCGAATATTTTTTCACATATTGGTGAATAAATTCTGTAAATTCATGCACAACAATGCACTGAACAATGCTTTCAAAGAAAGTTTTCTGGAATTCTCTGATAGGAATAGGAACTTATTGATTCACAATCATAGAACTCAATTTTCTGAATCTTTAAAATGTGGAAAATAACGACCATTTGAAAGAGGAGAGAAGTGAAATTCTAAACAAAACAGTAATTACGACGAAACAAAATGCTTAGGGTACTTGAGCTCATACTGATAAGAAGAAATCCACATGGGTCAAGAGGTCATAAATAACGGATATCAGCTGCAGGGCCGTGACCTCAGGACGGACTGCCTTCATGACAAATTTCTTCCAGCTTTTGTGTTGGAAATGAATAAAATCAAAAGCTCCACATGCTACACCTAATTTTAGAGAAAATTTTTCCGACAGTGTGCATGAAAATCATTCTTTTCTCGTTTTGAAACCCTAGCATGGAA